TAGAATAGATTCTGCATAAATCTCAAAAAGTCGAAATACCTCAAAAATCCAAAATCAATTTTGGAAACATGTATAATACAGAACCTGTTATTTTACCAGAAACTTGAATTAAGGGACCAATTTTATTCCAAACTTATTCATGTGGTGGAGACCCAAAAAAAATAAATGGCTAGTTATATATATATATATATATATCTGTAATTATTCTGAAATATTAAATTCTTTTCTTCTTTCTATATTCATAACAATACTACATATAAATATTTATATAATAGTAAAAAATATATATATTATTGTTTACAAATACTTCATAATTGACAATTGAAAAGTACCCTAATGATCTTATAGCTTTTTCATAATTATAGCTATTAAAGCAGTAACTAACATTATCTGAATTGTTACTATACAGACAAAAATCAACAAAATGTGAACCAAATTTTTTTTTGCAGGATTTTGGATACATTATCAATTGATATTTCGGAATCTTTTACTCTGCTAAGAATTGAATTTTGAATATTGCTATTTTTCAATGAGAAAATGAAACTATCAATTGATTTCTCAAAATTATTATTAATATAAGTATTATTCCATGTTAAAGGATTATAACCTCCAATGATTTCATCTGTTTTATTAATTTTTATTATCACAACTGTACCTCTATGTCCGTGGCAGATATTCCAAAATGTTTGTGGAACAAACCCATCTTTAGTTCTACAGCAAATTAATTCAAATTTTTATGGAACATTTGTTGTTGAATAAGTAGTCGTTCTACGATCAATCCAACTAGAAATTTCTGCGGCATGTTCTTCAGAAATGATAGTTGAAAAAGATTCTTTTGGTTCATTTATACGAGAAGGTAATTCTATGACCAAAACTGATCTCGCTGGTAAAATAATTGATTTTACTAATCAGAAAGGAACTATCAGATGCTGATTGATATCTTCCCAAAGTTTTTATCGAGGATTTTTTTGTAAGGTTTAATTTTATCATAAATTTCATCATTTGAAATATGAAAGTAACGAATAAATGGTAGGAATTGTTGTAAAGTAGTTTTTAATGTAAGAAAATTTTCTTTTCTCCATTCTTCAAGGTCTGTAGGAAGAGTAGGATTCTTAGAAATTCCCCCACTTGATGACACATTCCCAAATTTTAATTTCTTCCATTTGCAAATCATCTCGCTTGAGAAGAGATACTAGTGCAGATTCAGGAAAAGAAATAAAATCTGAACTATCAAAATAAGAGTTGGATACTTGACAACAATATCATTACAAAAATTTTCTAATTTTTTAAAGTTATTTTTATTAAAAATCGAATGATAAATAAGGTAGAAATGTGTTCTTAACCAAGAGCCTTTAGTATCAATGAGAAAAGTCACTAATTTGTTGGTTAATTCCTCAAATTCAAATTCGTCAGCAGCTAACATTAAATCAAAAATAAATCTAGTTTCAACATTTTGTAAGAGAATTTTATAAAAATAAAAAATAATAATAAAGTAAATTACGATTGTAAGTAATAATAATATTTTTATAAATTACTTAAGAATAACATCGAAAATTGAATAAAGATATACTTGGCTTGGAAATTATTTTGATATTATTTTCATTTGGCTGAATATTTTCTAATTCTTTATTAAAATAAGATGCTCGATATTTCAATATATTAGAATGTGCCGTAAACGATTTTTCCTTATTTTTAACTTCAATGATTACATTGTTCAATAAAGTTTTGGGAGACAGTAAAAATAATTATGTAATAGTTATAAATACAAAAAATCATGTGATCCATAGTTTTTTTGGTGATTCCGTCCCAATTAATTATTAATCGGTTCAATATAAAAATGATGACAAAATGATATCAAAAAATCAGCAATTTTTTCAATTGGCTCTTATATTTATTTAATTTATTTTTTTATAAATTTGATAGTTTTTTTTTTTTTTTTTTGTAAAGTTTTTGCATTGATCACATCACGTAATTTTTAATATGATGCATCGATTATTCGTGGTAGTGTTGTGTTGGTGGTGGATTCTAAAATAATGTTTCATACCTTCAATCTTCTCTGTTTTTTTTTTCACATATTTTGTTCTTAAATCAAAAAATTTTCCTTTCATTAAATAATTTAAATTTTGGATATTTATTATTAGATAACATTCTTAACGATCGAACAATAATTAAATATTTCATTCGTTTTTGATATTGTTTCTGTTGAAAAAAATTTTTTTTTGTTCATTCTTTCAGTGTCAAGTTAAAATTCATGGTTTTACCAATTCATAATAATAATAATAATAATAATAATAGTTTGGATATAAATAATGATATCCAACAAAAAAGGAAAAACTGCGAAAACTATGAAAACTGTGAAAATTATGAAAACTACGAAAATTATGGTATTATTTTAAAAAAAATTTCATACTTATTTGTGATGAAAGATCTGCTCCTTGTTTATTTAAATTAATTTGTTGATTTATTATCTATGTTTATGTTTATTAAACGAAATATCGTTTTGAACAAGAAAGGAAAAGAATTGGATATTACAGAAGAGGAACAACAATTTCCACTTATTATTTTACCTATTGATCCTATTGATACAATGAATAATAATAACTTTACAACAACAACATCAGAAAATAATTTATTCTATCCAAATAATTATGAGATAACTGGTGAAGTATCTAATGATACCTTTAATATCTCCGATATTCCCGATATCTCTAGTATTCCAATTTATGCATCACTAGACGAAGCATCATCATCATCATTTTACCAAATAAAAGAATTTACAACAATCAATTCATGGTTTTGGACGAAATATATTTCATCAATATTAAATTCCATGCCTTACATATCAAGTGATCATATAAATGATATTATGGAAGTTGATTATCCCAAAGATTTATCAGTTTCAACATTTTATCAATTACTTAGTCAAATGAGATTATTGGGTGAATCCATTTTTATTAAATGTACCACCTTACGTATGTTAAGTATCAGTGAATGGAATAGAAGATATTCAATAGTAGATTATTATCCTTTTATTAATATTAATATTAATTTTAATAATAATAATAATGATGATGATGATGATGAAGTTGATCCTAAAGAAGTAATTGATGAATTAATTAAAGAATATTGTACTGTTACAAAATCCAAAAATAATTCATCAAACAGTAGTAATAATAATAATAATAATAATAATAATAATAATAATTGTAGTGATGATAATAATAATAATAAAGATTCAGAGTTAGAAATAGTAATTCAAGGACAATATCTTACGCCTCAAAGTGAATTATTTCAAAAAATGTTTCATCATTTGTCTCATTCAATAATAATTCCACGTTTACATCGTTGCGGAAAATATACCACCCGAATAACCATGCCAATACCATCAATTTCCACCATAGAACCTATTATAAATTGGTTATATGATCATAATGATCAAGCTTGGATGAAAACGATGACTCCGGATAATTTCGAACAAGTAAAGATTGTTATATGATTTAATTATTTTATTTATATTTATTTATTATTAGAAAAGCTAAATATTTATTTATATTAATAATTTATTTATTTACGTAAAGGTATGTCGAAATGTCATCCATCTTGGATTAAGAGATGAAGCGTTTGAAGTATTGTCCTTGTATTTTCAACAAAATTTCCTAATCATACAGCATCATCATCATCATCATCATTAGTTTTTATATTTTTATTTTTATTTTTATTTTATATTTTTATTATTTTTAATATTTTAATATTTTTTAATGTTTTGATGTTTTAATTTTTTAATATTTTAATAACATTTATCCAGCATACTTTTATTACTTAAATTCACAATGAAAATTAACAGTTGAATAAAATATTTTTATGAATAATTTTAAAGTATACATTTTGTATAGTGATATAACCATATTTAATAGTCATAATAATAATCATAATATTATATTAGTAATCATAATAATAATCATAATAATAATGAGAACGGATATAATATGTATACATATTAAGTGAAATTAATAAAGAAAATATTTAATCTGCTTCGATGAATCAAAAGCGAAAATAAAAAAAATCTCTTCATCCGGAATAAAAATAAAATAAAATAAAAATCGGTCATTAATCTTTCTTTAATTATCGCTTCCTTTATCACCAGCAACTTACCCCTCAACATTATCTGTAATATTTTCATTTTTTGTTGTTGTCATTTTACTATCATTATTATTAACGCGATCGTTAACAATATTATTATCAACACTATTATTAACGTTATTATTTTCAACGGTATTATTATTAACATTTTTATCACCTTCTCCATTTGAATTATTTTCTTTACCATTCGTAATAATTCCATTATTCGTATTTCTTCCAATCATATTATTAATATTATTATTATTGTTGTTGTTGTTGTTATTTTTCCAATAATTTCTTCCACCATTTCCAGAATTGTAAAATCTTTTACTTTTGTTAGGTTTATGTGCCATTTTAATCTTTGCTCGAACTCCATTTAAGTAAATGAAACCTTGTTTTATTGCACGTTGAAATGCTTCTTGATAACCAAATTCTACGAATGCGCAACTCTGATTTCATCATAATAATAATTACAATTATTAGAATTATTATTATTATAATCATTATCATCATTATTATTATTGAATTTTTTTTTTTTTTAAAAAAAAGTAATAAAATTTTTACCCTGGCACGAACGACTTCAATGGAAGTAACTCTTCCAAATGCCTTTCCAATAACTTTTCTTAACGTCCTCTCATCGATATCATTTGTTACCGCTCCGACGTAAATTCTACGCCAATCTTGGACATTATTATAATATTGAGGAGTAGAATTCCTAATCGCTAAACAAAACAAGGAAAATAAACAAACATACCAACGGGACGAGATTATGATACTATGTTACCCATGTTTCTTTCATTATTTCATACATACCTTGTTGAACATCATAATTCAAAGTTCTCACAAAATTAATTTCTCCATATAAATCCGTTTCCCCGATGAATGGTAGAGGTAGATTATTATATGTATAGTCAAAATTATGATTCATTAAATTATTATTATTATAAGGGTTATTATAATTATTATTATAAGGATTAATATTATTATTATTTACTGCACCAACACCACTATTGAAGGTATTATTATTATTATTATTATAATTAGATTCATTTTCAACAACAACATTAGCATTAACATTAGAGGAATTAGGTGCATTGACATTAGAAGCAGATGATGATGATGAGGAGGAGGAAGGAGAAATTCCATTCTCATAATTGTTATTATTTCCATTTTCAAAAAAACCTGTTGTGGTGTCATGGAAGATATACGTTGTATAATTATTATTATTATTATCATCATTATTAATATCCTTATTATTATTATTATCATTATTATTATTATTATTATTATTATTATAAATATTATTGTAATTATTATTATTATTATAATTATTATTATTATAATTATTACTATTATTATTATTATAAATATTATTATTAATATTATTAATGTTATGATTAAAGTTGGCAGTAGAAAAGTTATTAAAGTTATGAAAATAAGTTGTACCAGTAATACCATTATTATTATTATTATTATTATTATTACCTCCATTATTAGAATTATTAGGATTATTAGGATTATGATTACCATAAGCTATAACGAAAGATGATTTTAATAATAAATCTCTAATTAAAGTTCTTTGAGATTGTATAAGTTCATCTTGAACTTGAGCAATTTTATGATACTTCAAGACGAGAATTTCCTTGAAATCATTTTGTGATTTTAAAGATGGACAGATAACACATTCTAATGTTTTAGATGTTGGTGAAGATGAAGGTAAAGAAGATGGTGATGAAGATGATGAAGGTGAAGATGGTAATGATTGAATTTGTTGTTGTGATTGATGTTGTTGCTGTTGTTGTTGTTGTTGTTGTTGTGATTGATCCGAGAGATGATGATTATCAGATTGAGAAGTAGAATTATTTGATTGAATATTTTTTTGAATAACATTATTTGTTGTTGTTGTTGTATCAGAATGATGATGATGTTCCTGTTGAACTTGTTGTTGTTGTTGATGTTGTTCGGTCATCTTTAAAAAAGTTTTCGTCAAAGTTTTTTTTTTAAAATAAAAAAATAATGATGATGATGATAATAATAATAATATCTTGGTAAGAGATATAATTATTTGTGATGATTAATATAGAAAGTGTTTAAAGTATTTATAATGAAAAATTTCAATGACGTAAAAACTACTACAGAATCTTGATATGTTCGTCGTATGTCCAAACGTAACGCAATCCCCAATCTATACACAACACACGACATAAAAAAAAGCAATTAATTTCATTTCAAAAATTTTGATGATGGATGAGATGGAATGATTTTATAGGATAAGACGTATAAATTAATTAATTAATTAATTTGATAAATTCGGATCTGATAATTCTAATGATTAAATTCTGAGATCATGATAATAATGTAATGACTGAAAATCATGATAAAAAGTAAATGGCTAATAATAATCAGCCAGTTTTAATCAAAATAATAATAATAATAATAATAATAATAAATAATAATAATTTGTTACAAATTTAATAAATTTCAATCCTGAATTTATACTAAATTTATACTTGATATATCCAATCCAAATAGATATGAAAATATAAAATAATTGATTGCACCCAAAACATTTGTAATGTTAAATAATTTTAAAAGAATTATTGCTTCATTCTTCGTTAAGAAAAGATCAAATTTTTCATCTATATTTTATTTAATAAAAACAAATGATAAAAGATAGTAGTGTGTATTAAAATTTTTACGAAATATAAATGATCTATTAATTATAAACCAAGTTAAAATTTAATTATCTAATAATAAAAAAATTAAATTAAATAAATTAAATATATTTACTTAGAATCTTATATAAGAAAAAATTCCGTTAATTCTTTATCATTCTTGTGATTATTCTTTTGATATATGAAATGAAATTTTTTGGTCATAACCCTATATTAACTTATCCAATCCACTTAGCACAATGATTAGTATCAAATCATCATCTTTTGTTCATTTATCAAAATCAATACTATACTAAGTGTAAAAGTTATTATTATTTTTATATACTGTATTTATTTACGTATATATATATATATTACACGAAAAATGCCATATAGAATTGAGTAACAATCCCTATGAATTTTCTTCGAGTGAAAACTTTTTAGGATATTCGAATATAATAAATCATGTTTATAAATCATTCATTAATAAACCAATTCATGTCAAAAGAAGATTTTTGTGTCAAGAAGTTTTTATTTGGATAAACGACGCGATTTCTCTAATAAAAACATCCTCCCTTCTAAATTTGCAAAAAAAAAAATATGACTTCAATTTTTAGACGGGTTATCTCAAGACTTTTCTGAACTTCTTAATGATAAAGTTATTATTGAGGTTGGTCAAGAGCAAATAAATGACCTTCATTGCGCACTCCGCTAGTTGTAGAGTATGGTTAAAAATTTGATGAAACCCTAACCCTACAAATAATAACTACTAACCCACGTGATAGTTAATTTTACAATTTTACTAATGACAATAATAATAAACCGAATATCTTATTTTACTTATTTTTAAATATTAAATTAAAAATAATTGAACATGAAAAATTCTTATAATAATTTTATATACAGATATATTTTATGGCGGAATTATTAATACGGAAAATATCGATACTAGAACTTGATGATTGTTGTTAATGAGTTGAAGTTAAGGAAGGAATTATAAAATCCAATGCTTCTCATTTCTCATTCAATTTTTTTAAAAATAATGCATTTCAAAATTTTAGAAAAAATTTATTTTGAATCTTCGAAATTTACTTCTCTTCACGAATCTGATTTAATATCTATTTTTAAAACGAGATGACCTACAAATAAAAGAATCAGAAATATTAAGTCCATATTTCGAATGCGGATGTTAAAAAATTCATCTTTCTTATTTTTTTTTTACTTGATTTAATTTATTGTTTTTATAATCAGATATATGAATCATTATGTTTGTGTATTGAAAATTATTAATTATTTCATATTGAATAAAGAATTGGTTCATAAAATAAATTCAAATTATTAAAATGATTTATATTAATGTCATCCGTGATTTTTTATTGATATTCTCATGGACAAAAAAATCTTATAAAATTCGTCGTATGCAACTGAGAGTTTAATCACTTGGCTTTTATAAATTATAATCAAACCTTTCTCTTACATTTAGAAAATTTCCAAAAATTTATATTTGATTTATCAAAACTTTTCTACCTCTTAATCACTAAAATAATTCGAAATATGTCTAAAACTCAAGGTTTGTGAATATGTTTCAGTTTTGAATCTGGTCAAATGTACTATTGTACTAATGTACTAATAATCATTATTATTTCAGATACTATTATCATAACCTCTGGTTCGTCTAGCAAATAAACATCAATTATATTATTTAACTATCCATTAAACTTGGATTTAAATAATATCGCTTTAGATAAAGGCGCGCAAAATGAAACAAAAAGAACAGAAGAAACAGAAGAAAAGCTGGTTTTGCCAAAGAATTTAGAAAAGATTCTTAAATTAAGCAACGACAATTGTATAAAGATCTGCCTAATAAATCAAAAATTCTATTTTGGAATCGATTTCGGAAACAGTTTCCGAAGAAAAGAAAAAAGGGGTATTGAGTTAAATAATATGTTTCACATTAATGTTCTACACTAATGTTGTTATTGGCTTTTACGCCGATATTTATTAAATAATTAGTATTTTACTGTCGATTAAATCGTTTTAACTCTCGTTACACTCTCTACTTTGTGACTAAACATTCTTAATAAAATATAATTGCAATTGTTTATGGGGTTCAAACCTTCATTGTTTTAATAGAAGTGTACATTTTTTACAGAGATGAGAATTAGTTTGTAGTTTTTACCCATTAATAATGGAATTATTATTAGTAATATTAAATAAATAATCGTATTAATGTGATTAAAAAAAAAACAGCGTCTAAAGATCTGAAAAAAATATAATATTTATATTTACCTAAAAAGGCTAGATTCTACCAATAATCTTCTGACTAAAAATTTCCATGGAAATCTTATATTTATTGATTTTTAACTTTTACAAAATATCTTTCGTCACCCTTAAACAAACTTATTAAGAATTTTTTTCTATTAGGAAAAGCTGTGCCAAACATGATGATTCACTGTATACTTTAATAAAACATGCATTTTATAAACAGTTTGACGTTTTAGAGATTTTCAGTTATATAATAAAAAGTTAGTTCGGAAAATTTAATTAGATCATAATGACCATTTCAATAGTCACTGTAAATTCAACACACTTTTTGTTTTATGTTTTTTTTTTTTTTTTACAAAAAAAAATGGTTGACAATGAAAAAATTCTCAATAAATTTGTACTTTCTAATAATGGCAATGAGTTAAATATTATTACCGGTATTCCTTACAAAATTTCAAATAGCGGACTTTATATAGATGATTCGGGTGGTAGTGATCTTCGCCTTTCTCGTGATAACCATCTACCAGGTCATCCATTTCATTCAAGACAATTATGGTTTTTTAAAGAAACGTCACATCCAAGAGAATATAAAATATTATCTGGTAGGACAAATGATTGTTTGGATTGTCGGGGAGGTAAACATAAAGCGAAACTCTACCTGACTTCCCATGATAATCTTCGAGAAGAAAGTCAAATATGGTCTTTTTACACTACAACTAATTCCAAATCTAAAGTATTTCAGATATGTAATAAACAGAATAATTGTTTCTTAGACAATTGGGGCGCAAATGGCTATATTTACTTCAATTGGTATCGTAATCCTCCAACTGATAAAAATTATTCAAGACAATTATGGAAGTTTATTCCAGCTTTTGATTACGAATTAAATGCCTTGATCAGCAACTTTGAGTATAAATTTCCTTCAAACGTAAAAAAACAGCCAATAAAGAAAACTATTCGTGAGGATATCCTGGATAATCAGGATTCATCAGTAGAACTTATCACAACTTTTAATTTCCAAGAAGAATTAAATAACACATATAGCTTTAGTTTCAATGAATCTCTTAAGTTTATATCAGAAACAAAATTAAATACTATTCTTCCCTTTATGGATATCGAAAAAGAATTCAATTTTAAAAATAGCTTTGAAGCTGATAAACGTATTACAACTGAAAAGAAAGAATCATGCACAATAACTAAAAAAGTTAAAGTACCACCCAAATCTTGCATAAAATCTATTGATTACGTTGATTTCGTGGAAAATATAGAAATTCCTTTTGAAGCTGCTGCAGAGATAATAGCAGCTTCAAGTGATCAGTTTAAAAAAGATGGTACATTAGTTAAGAATGCCCAAGTTGATGAAGATGCTGTAAAATTATTTTTGAAGGAAAAGAATTTCCAAGGAAAAATAATTGGATCCAAAGTAAATTCCATTCTAGCTAAAGTAAATGGAACATTCCGTGGCTCATACTTCCTAAGAACTTATAGAAAATTAGAAGATATGGTTCCTAAGATTCCTGAAAATACTGTGAGCATTGAGCATTTAGAAAGTATGCTCATTTAACGAAAGTAAAATATTTCGAGTTTATCAATAATTTTAACACGAGTAATTTTATTTTAATTTTATTACTTATTATTATCTGAAATACATTTAATCATATGTGATTTGCGGATCCAATAAGATTATTCATTCAAAGTATCACATTACACAATCCTTGTATAATTGTAAATATTGTCGCGGTCTGCTAACACACTTTTAAAACACAGCAAGACAGGCAATCAGTCGATCTAAACCTGCTTACTAACACGTGTAATATCTGAAGGTACGATGAGCAAGTACCAAACTGAAATAGACTTTTTTTATGCAACTTTGCCAAGAAATAAAAGAAATAGTTTATTAAAATTTATTAAAATTTCGTGTAGGAGTATAACAATAGCAATATATTACTGCTTTGGCGTATCTTATCACTTTGCTTCCTCCTGCACTAAATTAATTATTAAAATTATTACAGAAATAAAACAATAGAGATATTTTATTGCGTTGGCGTATCTTATCCCTATTGCTATACGAAATTATTTTATTATTATTAAAAAGTATTATGAATAAAGAAAAATAAAACTATATTTTTTTTTCTTAAATATTTTGAACATTATAATTTAAACTAAAATTAAAATTGTTCGAAATATCAAGTAAAATATTTTTATTTTGGTTCTTGTTCTTTTTGGAGAAAAGGAATCTCCTTTTTTTTTCTTTCTTCACAACCGCAGCTATTTTATATTTTCTCTTCTTGTTTACCTTCATCCTCTGTCATCTATAAACACAATTTGGAGTATTATTAATTATTTTTGATATTAAAATTATTAGTACGAGAAAAAAATTATAAAACAATGTAATGATGATGGAGTATTTTTTTTTTTTTTTGGTTTATTTTATCATTTTTAAAATTAATTGTATTTGAAAATTTGCAAGAAACAATAATTAAAATGCTTTAACAGATGTAACAATGTGAAATTGATTCTTCTTGGTGATGTGAATTAAAAAAAAATTGATTTTATTGTAATAGATCATTGAAAATGACACTTTTCAAAAAACTATAAACCATTTTCGTTCGTAACGTGTACAGTGGACTCCCTCTACAAGCACATCCATAGAAACCAAAAATAAAAGGTGTGATTATAACCATATAGAAGGATTTTTATAAAGTATTACTAAGTATTGGTTCTTATGAAAGGTGCGCTTATAAGTGGGGATTTATATGATGTGATTGCACGTGGGTGAGTATAGAGGTTCCTACTGTAGTTTGATCAATGAAAGTTAGTTTATAACGTTTATAACGTATCGCACATGAATTTTCTGTAATCTTTTTTTATCTACCCGTTTTGTTTCCGAAATGACAAACATACCTTTACCATAGTAAGGATAAATTCAAGAATATCTTTTTGAAACAATGAAAAATTGAAACTATATCCATTGTTTGGCATCAAATAATAATTATATAAATAAGATATATATGTGGAAAAAGCTATCATTCCTTGTTTGATTCCAAAAATCGAAAATAAAATCGTGTTGTTTAAACCTAAAATTGTTATTTAGAACCCAAATTTGCCATTTGAACCTAAATTAAGATAAATTGATTAGCCAATTATTACGTTTTTCGATTTTGCATACACATAAGACTTTGTTATAAATATGTTACTTATTGAGCGAAAATAAATATATGCTACTCGATTAGGCAATTTAGAATAGGTAAAAAAAGATCACACCGTAGATTACACAATCGAGGGATTCAAATTAAAAAGCATATTACGTGATGACTTCGCTGAAACAAAGAAAAAATTAAAAATTGGGCTAAAAATTCTACGACAGAGTGCGTGATCTCTTTTGCTTAGCTTTCGTTTTCAAAGTATAAAAAAAGCTTGTTTTGATTACTCTTGCAGTATTTTGTTTTTTACAGAGAAAACATGATTGATAATATTGATAATGAAAAAGTTCAAAAAATTCCCAATAAATTCGTACTTTCTTTTGATGGTAAAGAATTAGATATTATTACCGGTGTTCCTTACAAAATATCAAACTTTGGAAATTGCATAGATGATTGGGGTGGCAGTGATGGTTCGTCCCCTCGCCTTTCTCATCATAACCATCCTCCAGGTCACACGTTTTATTTAAGACAATTATGGATTTTAGAGAAAACGTCTCATCCAAGAGGATATAAAATATTATCTGGCAGAACCGTTGATTGTTTTGATAGTTTGGGATGTGGCCACCAAGAAAAACTTCACCTGAGTTCAACTAATTCAAATTCTCCGGATGAGAATTCTTATAATATAAACCAAATATGGTCTTTTTACTCTACGGCTGATTCTAAATCTAAAGAATTTCAAATTCATAACGAACAGAATAGTTGTTTTTTAGATTCTCACGGTTTATTCTCTCGTATTCGTTTCAGTTCTTGTTGTAATAGTTCAATGGGTGAAAAAAATTTAAATCAATTATGGAAGTTTATACCAGCTTTTGATTATAAATTAAATGTCGTGATTAACAACTTTAAATATAAACTTTCTTCAGACATAAAAAAACATCGTTTAAAGAAAACTATCCGTGAGGATATCCTTGATAATGTGTCTTCATCAGAAGCGATCACAACTATCAATTTCCAAGAAGAATTAACTAACACATATAGTTTTAGTTTTAATGAATCTCTTGATTTTATATCAGAAACAAAATTAATTGCTGATATTCCCTTTATGGATATTGAAAAGGAATTCAATTTTAAATATAATTTTGAAGCTAATAAACGGATTACAATTGTAAATGAAGAATCATGCACGATAACCAAAGAAGTTAAAGTTCAACCCAAATCATGTATAAAAGCTATTGATTACGTTGATTTCGTGGAAAATATAGAAATTCCTTTTGAAGCTACAGCAAAAATAACAGCGTTAAGTGATCAATTTAAAAAAGATGGTACAATAATTAAGAATGCTGAAGTTGATGAAGATGCTGTAAAATTATTTTTGAAAGAAAATAATTTCCAAGGCGAAATAATCAGGTCCGAAGGGAATTCCGTTATAGCTAAAGTAAACGGTGTATTCTGCGGATCATATTTCCTAAAACCTTATAGAAAATTTGAAGACACGGTTCCCGAAAATATTACTAGCAATGGCATTTAGAAAGTATGCACATGCTATCGATATTTATAATATTTATATTTTTTTAAGTTGGTTTACCAAATTTAAACATTCCATCTAAAAATACTGATATTTCATAATATTATTGCGATAAATTTCAAAATGTATTCATTTTTTAAAGCATAAATAAAGTATTTTTTTTTTTACCGAGAAAACAATAAATTCTGTCGTCGAAATTCGGGAATTACAACGGGTTACAGCATTTCGGCTAAGCCGTAATTATTACGCACAGCAATATAATTCTGAATGTGTAATTTATAAAATGGCTGCGTAACAATCATTTATAACAATCATAAATTTGTAATAAATAAAATTTATATTTATACATTCTTTTTAAATTTAAAAATGTAATTTTAATATTATCATCGATATGAAATTAATTATTATTATCATATCGCCTGATCTCAAATTCAAAAATGGAAATTTTGACAAGGCACATAGATATAATCGGCTAGATGGATTCCTAAATTTTATTAACACATAGCTTTATTATAATTCAGAAAAATAGTTTGAAATGTTGGAATGTTAAGTATTATTTGGAAAAGCGGGAATAGAAAATATTAAGTTTTAGTTATCATTTTTTTTTAGTTTTAAAATTAGAATTAAACGATGAAAGTGGTTTATTTATTACAATAAAATATTATTTTTTTTATTTCACATTATCAAGAAGAATCAATTTAATTTTAAAATATGATAAAATAAAAAAATATAAACCATAAAAACCTTTATTATGATCCGTTCTGCGATCTTGAAAAATTTTAATATCAAAAATAATTAATTCGTGAACGGAAAGAGATCTACATATATATCGTTCCGAAATGATATCACAAGAACCATTTTATAAAAGTCCTTTCTCCATTAACATCATAAAAAAGCAATGGTTCTGATTTAAATATATTTTTATTTTCAAATGGCAACATCAATAAAATAAAGAGATATGCCTTTTTTTAGCGATTAAAAATTTTATTTTTATATATAATTGTGTAAAAATCACGAATTAATTTTAATAATACTCCAAATTGTTGTGGAAACCCTTAAAACCATAAATAATTTTTATTTTTTATTTACTCTGTTTCTTATCATTATCTGGACGTGTTATTAAAGAATAATTAATTTCAGGAAGTGAAAATAAATTATAAGAATTTTTTTAATATTAAATGTTCGCATTGAATTTTATTGCAAAGATTTAGATATTATTACCGGTATTCCTTATAAAATTTCAATAACAGACTTTATATAGATGATTGTGTGGCAGTAGTGTTCGTATCCTTGCCTTTCTCCTCATAAACATCCTCCAGGCACGCTTAATAAAGACAATCACGGGTTTCAGAGAAAACGTTTCATCAAAAGAGGATATAAAATATTATCCGGCAGAACGATAACTATTTAGAAAGTTTGGGTAGCTATAAAGCGAGTTCAACTGGTAATCCTTCAAGAGAATGCTTATTATTCAAGACAAATATATTTTTTACTCTACAGCTGATTCTAAATCCAAAGAATTTCAAAATCATAACGAACAGAATAGTTATCTCAGTTTTGATTTTAAATTAAATGTCGTAAAAACTTCTTCATACGTAAAAAAGCAAATAAAGAAAACTATTCGTGAGGATATCCTAGATAATCTGACTTCATCAGCCGAAGCTATCGCAACTAAGAAGAATTAACCAACACATATAGCTTTGGTTTTAATGAATCTTTTGATTTAAATCTTAAACAAATTAAATACTTTATGGAAATTGAAAAAGAATAAAGGATTCAATTTTAAATATTGTTTTGAAGCTAATAAACAGATTACAACTATAAAGAAAGAATTATATGCAATAGCTAAAAACGTCAAAGCATCACACAATTCTTGTATAAAAGTTATTGATTACGTTGATTTCGTGAATAACGAAATTCCTTTTGAAGCTACGGCAGAAATAACAGCCATAGGCTATCGATACAAAAAAGATGGTACAATAATTAAGAATGCTAAAGTTGATGAAGATGCTGTAAATTTATTTTTGAAGTTCCAAGGTGAGATAATCAGAACCAAAAAGAATTCCGTTTTTAGCTAAAGTACAAGGCATATTTTGTGGTTCATATGTCCTAAGGACTTATAGAAAATTAGATGACATGATTCTTGAAAGTAGTGTCGCGATCCTTAATCCGATAAATTCGGATGGACGTAAATTTTTAAAATCCGTTATAAAAGAACATGTGATCTTAAAAATTATATATTATTATTGGTTAAAATTAGATCTAATCATGAGTAATTATAATTTTATTTTTAGAATTTTATATTTATTTTTCTTTATTTCTTCTTTATTTTTAATCCTTATTTTAAAGATCCATCCGGGTTGATCCTAAGTACTTAGAAAATATGTACATTTAATGAGGGTGAAATCTTATAAGAGATTAATAATTTAACGAGAGCAAAATCTTATAAGAGATCAATTATTTAATGAGAGTAAAAATCTTATAAGAGATTAATAATTTAATAACACTAGATTTATATAGAAATAATTTTCAGTCACATTGACAGACATAAATAATTACTGTATAAATAATTTGATTTTTTTCTTGCAATTCTTTTCTTAATTATTTTTCACAGTAAAAACATGGTTACTAATGAAATAATTCCCAATAAATTTATGATTTCTGTTGATGGCAAAGAATTAAATATTATTACGGGTATCCCTTACAAAATTTCGAATGAGAGACTTTATATTGATGATTGGGGTGGCAGACATGGTTCATCTCCTCGAACGACTGGTGAAAACCATCCTCCAGAGCATGAATATTATTTCAGACAAGCGTTTGTTATCAGGGGAACTTCATGTACAGGAAGATACAAAATAATTGTAAATGGAAATTTTGTGGATAATTGGGGAGGTGGTAGTGGAGCGGATCTCTACCTGAGTTCATACGATAATCCTCCAGAGCATCCTTGTTATTCAAGACAAATATGGTCATTTTACTCTGCAACTGATTCTAAATCTAAAGAATTTCAAATACAGAATGAGCAGAATAATTGTTTTTTAGATGCCCTTGGTCGTGGTGAAGGCTCTCAGATCGCTTTTTGGTCTTCTCCAACAGATAAAAATTATTCAAGACAATTATGGAAATTTACCCCAGCTCTTGATTACAAGTTGAATGCTGTAGTTGACAACTTTGAGTATAAACTTCCTTCAGGCATAGAAACACAGAAAATAGAGAAAACTATTCATGAGGATATCCTGAATAATCTATCTTCATCTTCAAAACTTATAACAACCTTTGATTTCCAAGAAGGATTAATTAATATATTTAAATTTAGTTTTAATGAATCTCTCAATTTTATTTCAGAAACAAAATTAATTACTGTTATTCCCTTTAAAGGTATTGAAAAAGAGTTTAATTTTAAATATAGTTTCGAAGCTAATAAACCAAGTAAAATTATGGAAAAAGAATTATGTACAGCGACTAAAACAATTGAAGTATCACCAAATCTTTGTGTGAAAGTTACAGATTATTGCGATTTCATGGTAAATGTCGAAATTCCTTTTGAAGCTACTGCCGAAATAACGGCCATATGCGATCGTTACAAAAAAGATGGTACAATAGTTAAAAATTTCGAAGCTGATGAAGATGCCGTAAGATTATTTTTGAAAGAAAATAATTTTCAAGGCAAAATAATCAATTCTGAAGGGAATTCCATTTTTGCTAAAGTAAATGGCACATTCCGTGGCTCATACGTCCTAAAAACTTATAGAAAATTGGAAGACATAGTTCCTACAGTTCCTACAGTTCCTATGGTTCCCGAAAATACTGTGTGCAGAGATTAAATGGAAGGTCATCAAATATAGTTAAATCAGCTATTGTTAATTGTTTTATAATAACATATTTCTTATAGAAATTCCATCTTATTTTATTACATAATTAAAGGAAAATAAAATAAAGATATATAATAGTTATTAACCAAGTTTATTTGAGAATTGATATAAAAAAGTTAATCTTTACATTATTGTCTCAAAAATTTTAATCTTTATTACGTGTCTCGTATTACCAGAGAAATAAAGCTTTGGAAAATACTTATTACATCACTTAAAAAATTCACCAAACCATTAAACTGTTGTTTACAACTTCATGAGTAGTGTAACTAAGGCTTTAATATTTCTATTCTCTTACGTTACACTTATGTTTTGAATAGATCCTCCAACACCATATTATTTTAATGGTAAGAACTGGTCACAAAAAACTTTGGCTGCTATAACCAACGCTTGTTCTTCAATTATATCAAGGTTTTGATTTACACTCACTTACCATCATTTTTGTGATCTTAATGTCCACTAGCTCGACAGAGGATCTAATTAGGAGTATAAAGATCCATGTATACCCAAATACAATACAAAAGAAATAATGCAATTTTAGATATAGTTTTGAAGCTAACAAACAGATTACAACTGTAAAGGAAGAATTGCGCACAATAACTAAAGTACCATCCAAATCTTGTATAAAAGGATTGCCGTGGAAAATATTGAAATTCCCTTTAATTTTAATAAAATAAAATTATTTTTGAAAGAAAATAATTTTCAAGGCGAAATAATCAAGTCTGAAAGGAGTTCCGTTCAAGCTAAAGTAAATGGCACATTCCGTGGTTCTACTTCCTAAGAATTTATAGAAAATTAGAAGATATGGTTCCTAATATTCCCAAAAATACTGTAAACATTAACATTTAGAAAGTACGCCGATTAATAAATTTTGATTCAAATACTCGGAAATGTTATTATAATATTATAACTATATTACCAAACAGATAAAAATTTAAATAAATCATTAAATATTGATGTCGTCGCTAATCTAGAAAAAAATAACAATGCCTTTTGTGATCGGCAAGATGATTTGGGGCCAAAAATAGTATTTTCTTTAACTCATGCTAAAAATTTAAATTTATTCCAATGTGAATATAAATTACCTAAGTTATATAAGAAATTTTTTTATTTTAATGTTTGACATTGAATTTTATTTAATATTTATAAGATTCTAAATCAAAGTTAGTAAACTACTTTATGTAATTGAAATAGCGTAAATATCATCAGACAAATTATAAAATTAGATGAAATTTTTATTAATGAATATAAACAATTAAAATTCAAAGTATATTACTCTATTAAATTTATATTCTTGTTTCAAATTCCATTGAAATGTTTGTAAGAAATATTAAAGGTGTCAATTCTTGAACTAAAGCAAGTTTATGTTTGTTATATTTTGCTTTATATAAATATAAATTTTACTGGTGATAAGGGGATGGATGAAGGGCAATAAATAGAAGGTTTTCATATCAAATGCCACAAAGCTTTAACGATAATAATTCACGCATCCTGGTCAATGCTGTTATCCTGGTTAACGCTGATATCTGAGGTATTGACTGATGAAAAAATCCATTTTCGGGATCTGGGAATTCACCTTCTCCATATTCTGTGTTAAAGGCCATGAAAACGTCTTTATCATATCGTCCAGCCCAATCTATCATTTTTGAACTTTCATCAGTGATTCCTAGTGCAACAATTGCAATGACATCAGGCTCGCGTAGTTTTTGATCAATGAAAGCTTGTTTATAATGTTTTGCTTGTGCAATGACATCTGATTTTTTGTATTTTTTTCTTAATTCTCTTAATTCGGCATCTACCCTTTTTGTTTCTACAATGACAAATATACCTTTGCCATTAGTAAGGATAAAATCATTTACGCCATCTTTTTTATTATGGGAAGGTATCCACTCATATTTATGGAGGTATTTAAATCCCGGGACAAATTATTTATATTTTCAAGAATACGTTTTTGAAGCGCCCATTCCAATTTTTTTTGAGGGTCAAACTGATTTTTGTGATTGTTAAAAGTCTGCCATTGTTCATTGTGATCATTTTCGGTTGTATCTAGGAGTTTAAATTTTCTTCGATATAATTTATTGCTTGCTGGATTATTTCAGGTTCATCAACTTTTGGCCAATAATATATGATATTCGCTTCAGTTTTACAACATTTGATAGATTTAATAGATTTAATAGGGGAAAAAAGATCAAAAAATTCTTTTGGTGGGTCAGAATCATGCGAAAATTCTATTACTGTTTCCTCTTGGTGAAAGGCATTGAAAAGAATTTTAAACCACTTTTTAAATTTATCGGTTTCACTCATTATTATTATTAAGAAAATAAGTTTTTTTACCTTAAATGGACGAAATGAAAGTGGTCATTTTGGATAATATTGTCACGTCTGGACAGCACACAACAGAATTACACAGCAAATCAAGTTCCCAGTCACAATAATAGTTTATACTTCTTCGTGTATCGCTATACAGTGTGACAACTTTAAATGACAACTACGAAATCGTAAATATTATCTGAAAGGTAC